AATGTTATCCACGTTATATTTCATCTGCAGCAACACTATAAACATTTATAATGATACGAACTTTTAAATGCATCATTATGCAAACACATGAGCAGAGTTCTGGGCATGATAGTCCTGCGACTAGCAGATCAACGTACCTCTTAATTTTTCTCCAATACGGTAGGAAATCAAATTAAACGAAATGTGGATGATGTTAACTGTGATAAGATGATTGACAGGGCAGTTTAAACAGTGACAGAATGCACCTAACTAAGCAACAGAGCGTCCGTTAAAGAAGCAGCTATGACGAAGTAGTTGCCTATGTCCAAAGCTTGCCTACTATTCTTCTACATACTCAAAAGTATGTACTTTTTCTTCACAAAAAGAGTACATACTTTTAGGGCATAGTATAAGTAGGCGAATTGGGACGAAGCAGAGGTTCAGATATTTCACTTAATTTTGGTTGTATATGTCTAAGCATGATGAGACCCGAAAGTGAATTCAGTTCAGTAATGTCTGATATGTGCTCTCTGTGTGCGCAGAGAAAACAGCAAGTACTGTTTAAAAAAAAAAATCCTTGTGCCAGGACATTATCCATTAATTCTACGGACAACCCTAAAAGACAATGCAATGAAATGCAAAATTCCAAGTACACCTGTAAAAAATCAATACAGAAAATTCCCTTAAAGACTTACATTCTCTCTACTTTCTAAATAACAAGTGGGGTTTTCATACCAAGCTGCCAAAGAGCTAAATCTCCCTCAAAATCTGGAGCTGAATTGAACAGTGCAGCATTTTTGCAGCCGGTTGTTATTAGGCGTGGGACCAGGGTGTGGACCAAGCTCCTGATTGGATGGAGCCGGGCCCAGGCCCAATGAACTACTTCAGCTCCATTTGAAGAAACGTGAGAGATTCATAGAGGTTTGTCTTGTTGGTGTTCAGATGATCTGCTGGAGGACACTTTAATACACAAAAGAGAAAATAAAGCCAGAGAGAGAGAGAAAGAGAGGCGTTTCACTTGACATTTCACTGATCAGCATCTGAGAAACATTTGAGCTACTGAAGATCAGCTGAACACATCTTAAAATATTTAAAACTTCAGCTTAGTCTTGAGTCTGTCTCGGTACATGAATCACTCACCTCGTCTTTGATTGAGATACATCAGAATGACTCTCAGGTTTTTCTGCATCATGAGAGACTGAAGATGCAAAATAATACTGCTTATAATTATCCTCATATAGTTTTTATGTGCTGGATGAATTATTGCATGTTAGGAAAGGTGTATGAAGACGATGATAACGTAAAGGGGAGTAAGAAAAAGTTATCTGCTCTCTGTTTATAACTTCAAGTTACTCCAATGATACACAAAAAAATTGCAAGCAACTAAAAAGTGACTGATTATACCACTGTTTGGATTCACTGTGATTTCTGCTCAAGTCTTAATCTCTTCTTCAAGCATTCATCAGAGCTATTAAATACTCACAGTCTGGTTTCAGATCACGCATACTGTTCCATTTAACAAGTTTCTCCGCATTTGCTGGTTTTGATCCACTGGCTTGTGAATCTTCCTCCCTCCTCCTCCTCTTCATCTCTCTCCTCTACTTCTTTCGTTTCTGTGCTTTCCAGAACAAATTGTAGTAGCTAAATAAACTGCGGGGCATTAACGTATTGTTTTCAATAAATAGGTTTTACAAAGCATTTAAATACAATACAACTTTAAAATAAGCACCTTATTATTAGCTTTAAGATCCACAACGATGAAATAAAGCAATGTCCACAGAAACAGTAAATCCAGAGTTGTTGTGATCAGTTTAATCCGTATCACTACAAAAGAAAAAGTGTTTACACGAACCTTAAATAGGAGTTAACTTGGGACGTCCCATAACGTGATCAAGAACTGAATCTCTGTCTGTTTATAGTTTAGTAACCGCATGCCATTTTTTCTTCTTACGTACTGGGACTAGGCTACGTGTTCTCCGGCGCGTAGTAAGCAGACGTCGACAGTTCTTATTTTAAGTGAGTAAAAAGTGACGTGACATGTGGCCAAGTATGGTGACCCATACTCGGAATTAGTGCTCTGCATTTATCCATCCAAAGTGCACACACACAGCAGTGAACACACACACACCGTGAACACACACCCGGAGCAGTGGGCAGCCATTTTATGCTGCGGCGCCCGGGGAGCAGTTGGGGGCTCGGTGCCTTGCTCAAGGGCACCTCAGTCGTGGTATTGAAGGTGGGAGAGAGCGCTATACATTCACTCCCCCCACCTACAATCCCTGCCAGTACGAGACTCGAACCCACAACCTTTGGGTTACGAGTCCGACTCTCTAACCATTAGGCCACGACTTCCCATTTATGTGAGCAGAGCAGCACAAGTGTGCCAAAAAAGTTGATAAGCATCATGCATTTAAAGTCCTAAAAAAAAAAAATTAAAGTTACTGACACACACACACATGCACACACAGACACACACACAAATCATAGACTCCTGAAGCAGAGACGGCACAAGGCTTAAAAATTAAAGTGATATTACATTTTTTATGCATGCATCTTTTTTCATATATCTTACTAGTAAATTACTTTGACAATTAGCCCTTAAAGGTATAGTATGTAATATTGACAGATAGCGCTTGAAATCAGACTCGACGCACACGTGGGTTGCCAGATTGAAGACACAGAGCAGGAAAGATAGATTAATAAGTTGATTTCTCCGCGTTGTGATATGCTTCTGCTCATGGAGATTTTTAGATGGATGCCGAGGCTTTATAGGTCGGGTAGAATGCGATCTCTGACCCAGTTCGTTTGCTGGTTTCAATGGCTGCAGCATGCTGTGTTTTCTGCGAACTGGCAACCCGTCCTGCAAGTAAAGTGTTGTTGTTGTTGTTTTTTGTCAAGTTGTATCATCTTAGGTTGTGCCCCATATAGAACGTTTAAAATATTTGTGTAGCCTACTTATTATATAGCCCACCTCTGTTACTGGACTGAGTTTTATAGCCTATTTCTGAGAATGTTGTGTTCCATAAAACAGACTAAATATTAATTTCTGCTATCTAGTGGTTGAACGTGAAAATAACAGTTTGTTCAAGTCTTATTTTCATGTTCTTATCTTTGCTGATTTCATTACAATACTTGTAAATAATTAGCTTTTAAAGTACCTGTATTTTTCATTGGTTGTATTATATTCTATAGACCAGCAAGAACATCCTGATAATGCAATGCAAAACTTATGAAAGTATAGTTATAGAAATTCTGGAACATACTGCTGGAGGTGTAAATCAACTGTGTTTTACAGTTACAAAACCACCATATGCTCATTTAAAAAAAAATGCATCTTAGTTTTACACATTTCTTTGTGACAGGCTAGGACACATTTGTCGTATAATGTTTATTGCGCACTGCTGCAGTGCAAAACCAACATCAACAATAAACAAAACAAAAAACACTGAAGTATTGCAATAAATTCTACCATGGGCAGAATGACTAAAACATAGGCACTTGTTCAGGTATAGACACTAACACTTTCACAAAGAATCTTTCAGTAAAAATAATACAGACACAAAATCTCTGGTGATCTTTTGGTTCAAGCAGCTCAAAAACAGTGATCATTGTGCACTTGAACAAGACACTTGACCTCATTTATGACAGTAGATAAATAATCTACAGGTAAAAAACAAACAAAAAACATTTTGTATTCCAATCTCATTCTGAATCATTGACTGAAAGTGATTTGAAGAGCATTCTGCCAGTTAGATCAACTGCAGCTTTCTAAAGAGAAAACACAATATCAAGATTTAAATTGTGATTTATACAGATTAATTCCCTGTATGTATGAATTGGGGATTTCTTACCTCATCTTTGAATTTTTCTGTCGCATCAGAAAGACACGCAGGGCTTTCTTGATTAAGAGAAACTGGAAGAAAAAATGAAAACAAGATTAGAAACTGTATTTCAATGCTTTCGACTCTTCTTATCATAAACATCCATATCATGAGATATATGATATTATTATTATTAGATATGTGTGTTTTCTTACAATTTGGTTGAAATATTTCAATGCTGTTCAGCTTGTGCACTTTTAGATGTTCTCTGGATCCACAGGCATTTTCTTTTCCTCCCTTTGTTGGTTTTTCCTGCTGTGCAAGTTTGACTTCATTTCTCAGTGCAGTTTCTTTTCTCTGCATTTCAGTCTTTTCAGTTGCACTTTCTGCTGTAATTTCTTTTTGTTTTCTTGACATTTTACTGTTTGTACATCATAAAACTCATTTCTCAAGTTTCAGAGGAGACTGAATGCACAAGAGCTGCAGAAGATATAAAATATTGCTAATTAAACCTGTAATTCAGACTGAATAACAATAGCATTACAGAGTCCAAACGTTTGAGACCACATTGAAAATCTGAGAACATTTTTGTGAACTTTTGTGTTATTAATTAGTTGTATTTGTTAGTTATTAAACAATAACAAGCAACCAAAAAAAAAAAAACATCTCAGAAAAAAAAAAACACATTAAAAATGTAAACATGTAAATTGAGTAAATTTTGAATTTTGAAAAACAAAGACAAAAAGTATTTACAGGTCACCACTTATTGGTCAGATATAATTAAAGTGTATGCAAATGAGTCATTATTGATTATCTGAACTCCCGTAAAGAGTCAGATTTTCTTGCTTAATGAAGCAAACAAGAGGATCTTTAAAATATTCTCAAATCAAACCGAAAGAGTGACACACTTTAACTCTTCACTCAAATTCTGTAATATAGTTTGTAATTTAAAAATGTTTTAGCTTAAATTAGAACTGTGCAAAATCATAATCTGTATCTAGAAATGCAATGCAATTTCATATATTCGACAGCATTCACACTCACCTAAATCCACGTCTCAAAACTTGTATGAGTTGACAGAGCTCTGTAAATATTTATTCCTTTTTTAGTTCTATTAGTATTCCTATACTTCTATTTGTTCATTTAAATGCATGGAGAAACATCAAACCTGATATCCAGTAATCACAACAAAGATCATCTGACTCAACCAGGAAATGACAGAAAATATTTAGCACAGCTTCAGTGACGCACAAAGTGACAGATCATTCATGAACTGGTCTGACTGCTTTTCTTTCTTTTTATATCAGCCAGGGCTGCATTGCATTAGTGTGAAGAACATTTTAATGATCTAAAGAACCTTTTGTGGAATGGAAAGGTTCCATGGATGTTAAAGGTTCTTTATAGAACCATCAGTGCCAACAAAGAACTTTTTTTTTTTTTTTTTAAACAACAAAAGTTTCTTTATAATGGAAAGTTTCCTAAGAACATGAACATTCCTGAATATGATAGGTTTTTGAAATAAGGTCTGTGGTGGATACTAATAAAAGATTTAAGAAGAACAGGGTATAAACAGATAATATTTTGCAATAATGACCTAGCAAAAGATGAACCCGGAGTGGACATTAAGCAAAAACTCCCACAACATGAAGAGCACCAGTACGCTTCTCTCCAGTATGAGTTCTCTCATGTTTTCTCAAGGTTGATGAGTGAGTGAAACTCTTTCCGCAGTGTGAGCACTTGTACGGTTTCTCTCCAGTGTGAATCCTCTGATGGTTTTTTAAAGTGCTGGCTGTAATAAAGCTCTTCCCGCAGTCAAAGCACAAATGAGGTTTCACTCCAGTATGAATACTCTGGTGTTATTTAAAACTTTGCAGATGTGCAAAACTCTTTCCACAAAACGAACAAACATGAGGCTTCACACCAGCAGGAAGTTTAAGGTGTCTTCTTAAGTGTGAAGCCACAACAAAGGTTTTCTCACACTGATCACAGCTGAATGATTGCACTCCAGTGTGAGAGAGCTGATGAAAGCTTCTGGATACAAAACTCTTTCCACACCGAGTGCATGTGAACGGGTTTTCTCCGTTGTGAACTCTCATGTGATCCTTTAAAAAGCTGTTTAATGAAAGGATCTTTGGGGAGCCAAAAATGGTTATTCTATGGCATTGCTGCAAAAGCCACCTTCTGGAACCTTTATTTTTATTAAAGGTTCTTCATGGAACCATCAATGCCTGACTTACTCTGAGTCTAAACCCTGCGGCGTATGTTCCAGTTGGACACCTGTGTTTTTAGATAGAAACGTTAATGCTGATATTTGGTGCCCGATCAGGAGTCTCCAGCTAAGGCAAGAAAATGAAAAAATCTCTAATCTACATGAAAGAATAAAAACTCAAATCAATATTTCATATCTATTTATTAATTTATTAGTAAGTAGCTGTGTAATAAGTGGGAGGATGTCTAGTAAGCCGTCATGACCTGCTGACTGCACATTAAACTATTACATGACACGGTGACATGTTAGTTCATCAGACTCATAATCAATTATTATGATCCATTTGATCTTCTCTCTGTTCTTGAGGTCGTCCTTTCACATCTGAAAGAAAAGCGAACCCAGTTAAGTCAGCACTTCGATTGTGTAATCAAACAAACAAACAGTGGTTTATGTGAAGTTGCTTTGTAGTCTGAATGTTTGACTGCGATCACATCACCTTAATCACAGCAGTACATGTGCGCGTCATTGAGAGCGGTGTTGTCTCCACTTCCCGGCTCTTCTATCCGCGTCTTGATACCACAAATCGCTCTTCCTTGACAAGTTGGGCCCCATTCGCCCCACTCGCCCCAGCTTGTGCCATCACCGTGTAGCAAAGACCCTCCACTGCATTTGAATCTGGAGAAAATTCAGATGTGACAATATTTTGATAATTATAAAATAATCAATACTCACAAAATGTTTCTTCTTTTTGTTTTTTTTTTGTCACATGTAAATTCATTATGTTCAGCTTACCCATTTTTATCATTAAATAGTAATTAATAGTTATCAAGTAATTAATAGTAATTAAATCTTGGAACCCAATGCAGTTTTACCAGGTCTGTGTTTGATGGTTCGGTTTATACAAGTAAGTTCTGCTCCTCGAATCTGATTGGTCGAGCAGTGTTCCAAGAGTGCTGATATTTAGTCACAGCACTGAGACTTTTCACTGTGTTTCTGACTCCGTGAAGAAACGGAGCGGGTTTGTGAAAGTCAGAGTGCTTGTGTTTTCTCTCGCTCTGTGACCGCTCAGAGCGGGTTTCTCTCACTAGTGAGTAAATGGCATTGGAGGAGAAGAAATATATGAACTAACTGGCGAATTTTTGTCTGAAGTAAAAGTTACTTGATATTAAAGTGGTCATGAATTTAGAAATCAAATTTCCCCTGATCTTTTGACATATAAGAGGTCATTGCACTGTAAAAACATACTGTAAGTTTCAGAACGTAAAGGGAAAGTCCACCCAAAAATAAAAATTCTGTCATCATTTATTCACCTTCTAGTCGTTCCAAACCTGAATGAGTCTTTTTCTTCTGTTGAGCACAAAAGAAGATATTTTGAAGAAGGTTGGTGAACAAACATTTGACAGGAGCCATTGATTTTCATTGTATTATTTCCATACTGCGGCATCTGTTTGGTTACCCACATTCTTGAGGGCGAGTAAATGATGACAGAATTGTCATTTTTGGGTGAATTATCTCTTTAAAACTTTGTTAGTCCAAAAACGGGGTTTATTGCCAAAATGACTCGTTTTTCACTGCCTCCTCTTTATTATGTAATAGGCACCGGACTGCTTGCACAGACAGATCAATGCCTACTTCTTCATCGTCGCCTCTTAGACTCACTAACATTATAAAATAAACAAAAGTAATTCATGACCCCTTTAATTTATTGTTTATTGAACTGTTGTATAAAAGCAATATCACACAGGTTTGCTCTTGTTTTGAATGTCAGTCATGTGATCATCTCTGTGCACAAGCACAGCCATGCTCACATTCAGTGATATTAATTATACAGATTTAACAACAAAAAACAATATGACTTATACCACCACATACTCACCTGATGTTGTTTGCGGCCGTGTCGTCTCCAATTCCTTGGAAAGATTCAACTCTCAGCTGAAAAGCAGTCAAGAAACAACAAGGACACCATTTGATTTCTGTCCACTGACCCCAGCTGTGGAAAAACAGAGTTTTATTGATCAAGTATATTATTATTTTCAAGAAAATCATTTCATTTGTAGCCGTTTCTAACCCTTAATGTAAGAATTCTTAATAAACCTGCTTTAACTGGTTTTATTACTCAGAATCTGAGCCATTACCCTCCTACTTCTGACTGAACTGAGGCGTAGTCCTCATATAAGCCCAATGAGGCTCTCGATGGGCGGATACAGTGAAGACGAATCCCAGTGAGTCCTTTGTTATCATCCCAAAAACCATAGGAAGGTTCACCAACCTTAAAAAAAAAAAAGACAATCCACCATTTGAGAGAGAGAGACACAAGCAGTGTTTTAGAGATAACTCGAACACAACCCATAGTAACATTCATCTTCATGTTCTTTAGTATTAAGAAATCTTAAGCAGGTGCAGTTCCCTGGAGATACCTGCACTGTAAAAAATGATTGTGATTTTAACAGTAAAAGACTGTAAAAATGCTACAGTAAAAACCTGTTAACTGGTTAACAGTGAGTTTCCATACTATATTCAGTGAATAAATGTAATTACATTTAATGTAATTTTACAGTAAGATACTGTTTAAAAAAACACACGTTTTTGGAAGTGAAAAAGAAAAAGTCATTGTATAATTTACAGTGAAAAACCGTAAATTGACACTCCCAGAATTCCCTGCATGACGCTCCATATTTGATTTTTTTTTGTTTAAATAACATGTTTTTTCTTAGTTTTTTCTTATCAGTTGTGTACACTAGGGTTTAATCTTACATCTAATGTTGTTAAATTAATGTTTATTGCATTATTTCAGTATCATGTGTGTCACCGTGATGGGGTTTAGTGTTTGTGTGAATGACGCTGTGCACCTTCTATATATCAGTATTGCCCTCCGCAGCTCGTAGAAAAGCTGTTTGTGATGAGCTTTGGTTCATCATGTGACTTTCTCATCACCACCAGTTTTTGGTGGTTATCAGTGCATTACAATGGTTCAAAACAGATATTAACACTTCAATATGTTGGTTTATTAACATTACATCAGTTAATGAAATACGGTATTTTATTGTGAATTTAAGTTAAGTCTGTAAAACCTAAAATGTTGCTACCATATTTTTTACGGTGAAGTTCTGGCAACCACAGATTTTTTTTTACAGTGTGGATATGAATTAATAACAGCGACTGAACCTTCAGTCACCAGTTCACACGTTTAACCACTAAGAAACCCCCATAATTACTGTAATTCAGTTAAGTAAGCCCGACTTACCTTCAGACTGAACCCTGCGGCATACGTTCCACTCGGACACATGTCCTTAAGCCCCCACGACCCCCAGTTCATCCCATTGGACACAGTCAGCCGCGATCTGTAATATCTGTTGACGCTTTGCGCAGAACGTCTTCCTGCGGTCTGAACACTTACATGCAGCCCATTAATGACTAACAGCACAGAAAGGAAGAGATGCATCGCTGCAGCACTGGCCTTATCAATAAAAATACTGCTGAAATGAATTCTGTTTGGTTTAGTAAACACCCCAGTAAAGGCAACAGTTGTTTGTTTCTTTCTGGGTCGTCTGTGGTCTGTCAGCAGAACCTGTCACTTTCTTTATTGAGCCGATCAGTACTTCTTCATATGCATTTATACAGTTCATCAGTGTTATGACATCCTGCTTCAAACCAATCAGCGCAGCTCTGAGTGCTCGGAAATAACCTGCAAAAATACAAACACTGATCCAACAAAAATATCTGCAGGCCTATGTTTGACCGTTAGTGACCATACAAAGTGTTTTACTTGGTAATATGCCTCTAAAATACTGAGTTGCTTGTTTGACTTTATATCTTTAATGATTCAGACAGAAATATTTAACAGTGGAGAAAATGCCGGGCATTTGCGTACAGGTTTACTGACATTTCCTGATGTAAATATCAATGCTTGCAAGTAAGCACGAGTTAAAGGAACAGTTTGGTTAAAAATGTAAATTCAGTCCTCATTTATTCTCCCTCGTGTCGTTCCAAACCGTATGACTGTCTTTCTTCTGACGGGCACAGTGAGAATTTAAATAGCTATCATAAAGTATTTTCTTGACTGCTGAATATGTCTTCTGAAAAAAACAACAACATAAAAACAAGAATATATATCATATATATCGGATCAATTAACTAAAAAAAAAAATCTGTTTATCATTATTATTGTTCCAGCAAGTAATCAGACAAATTATTCAAAACTAAAATGATTGTGGATATTAAAGTCAATGATCTGCATGTGAACACAATCAGCTCAAATGCTGCTCATTGCCAGTAAAAGCATGAGCCCTTTGAAACAGCTTTGATTGATGAGTTCTCAATATTAATATTAAACAGATACTGTGAGCAGAAATCAACACTGAACACCAGCTCGAGTTCATGATACGAGAGCAATGAGGTCACATGACTCTCCACTTCCCAGGTCGAGTTCTTCCGTTTCCAGCTGATGAAACTTCAAAACAATAACATCAAAAATATAGCCGCAAGCTGCAATCATCTGGATCTGATCACAAATATCTCATGCAGATGATTACTGTAGGTGATATGATTGAAATGTGTGTGTGATACACAGTATGATATTGGATCTTATAGCTCATTTTCCATTTTTCTGATGGGCAGATCTCTATTCAGGATTATGGCTACTGTAATATTTTGCAAATAGTGCCATCTCAAGGTAAATGAAGACATTTTAATACATATGTTACACTCTTAATACATACATATATTTTTTTGCAGTGATTCCACATTTTGAAAACCTTTCAGGGAACAGTTCCTGAAAGAATCATTAATTTATTAGTGTGAAGAATAATTCAATAATCTAATGAGCCTTTTTCTTCTATAAAGAAACTTTTGTGTTTCTACAGATCTCAAAAGATTCTTCATTGAACCATCACTGCCAGTAAAAAAAACATTATTTTTGAGAATTTAGGATTAAAATATGCCCTCAGAAATGTAACTAAGTTTAGGGTAGCATGGATGAAAGTATTGCTCATAAATGTTAAAGTTCACTGTTCATTCCCAGGAAGTGCATTTTACGCAGCGCCTGAAAATAGTCCCCAGCACGCTCTCTGTGCAAGCAGGTAGTCACGTTGGTTATGTTGATGGAAGTTAGCCTATTTTCAGGCGCTGTGTAATATCATTGCGCCTGCTGCACTCATGGTATGGCAGCAAAGTTCCTTGATTATTACGCTAACTGGAAGCCAGTGTAAGGACCTGAGGACTGGTGTGATAAGTTCAGATTGAGGATGTTATTACAGCTGTGATATTATTATTATTATTATTATTATTATTTTGCAGTAATTTGTTCAGTAATTTATTCACAGTTCCTGAATACCACTTATTACCACTAAATGAACATCAGCGCTTTTATAATTTTTTTCCTAGCTGGGTATGGCCAGGATTTCCCCCTCCCATACTGACTAAAGATATAGTCATATTATTAATATTAATAAATATGATATTATGTATTGCATTGCTACCTTAAATATGCACTATATACATGCACTATATACACAAATCAAGTGGAAGTGAAAGAGAAGATTTAGTTGAAACTGAATTTAAATTGGTCATATGATGCGATTTAAATTTGTCCTTTCTCTTTGGAGTGTTACAAGAAATTCGATTAATTGTGCAGCTCTAGTGTGCAGCACATTTTATGGAGGACTGTTTCCTGATCCTGGGAGAGTAGACTACAATGCCGGCTGTTCTGAATACCGTGTTTTTTGAACCTTAAACCGCATAAACATATTTCATTACACCTAATACACCAAATAATGTTCTTTTTAGCAGCAACATCATATGACCCCTTTAAAGGGATAGTTCACCCAAAAATTAAAATTACCCCATGATTCATGCTCGCAAATTTAGTAGTGTTTACTAACCCTAACCCTAACCCTCAAGTCATCCTAGGTGTATATGACTTTCTACTTTCAGACGAGTCCAATTGGAGTTATATTAAAAAATGTCCTGGCTCTTCCAAGCTTTATAATTGCAGTGAATGGGTGTTATTTTTCACTAGTCCAATAGAAGTCCAATAAAGTGCATCCATCCATCATAAAAAGTCATAAAAGCCTCCTAAAGCAAATCCATGTGTTTTTGTAAGAAAAATATCCATATTTAAAAATGTATAAACAGTAATCTCTAGCTTCCACTGCTGTTTATCAGACTGTGAGGTCATTATGTGTTTATTTATTTGGGGTGAAATAAATTTGACAACTTATAAATGCACTGAGCCGATTCACAATCTTATGAGTCATAAGAGTCGGTTCATTTAAATGAATCACAAACACCGGAGCTGTTACAGAATCAATTAGACTCTAATTAGACAATTAGAATTATTACTTTAGTCAAATACGACGTGAAATGAACCAATGTTGTACATGGTAGAATTAATGTAAACAAAGAGTGTAACTTTGTCTATTCTTTTCACACATTCACACGTTTAATTAATGGATTACAGTCTGATTGCAGCAATCAACCATCATCAATAATCTTTCAGCTTCACTCTGAACTGCTGGGAGAATTGATAGTTTTACAGTGCTTTGCTATTTGCAGTTATTTGCAGTTTCCAAAAATTGACTATTTATTGCAAGTGATGTTCTGTAGTATCAAATTAAAAAATCTTCAGAATGTACCATCTTTTAAAAATGTGGTTCTAAATAATTTTGCTGAATTGTATCTCTTTGTTCTGGCAGTTGAACAGAAAGGGTGAATGAAAACAAACCATTATAAACTACATGAACTGTGGGGTATATTATTTTAATCTATACCTTAAACTACTGTGTATAAAATCCAACAATACAGTGTTTTTCATGTGTAGCACAGTTTATTTAAATAATTATATTTGTGTGCATTAAAAGGGTTACAACTTCCACACATATATCATCAATGTAGAAAGGTAATAGAGGATAATAGGATATAAAATAATGTTTTATTTTATATATATATATATATATATATATATTTGTATGGAAATATAAGTTAAAAACAAAAATGTACTATTTAGAAGAATGCAGTTTTATAAAATATAAAAGGTTATTATTAATTAGTTAATTTATTATAAAACAAGATTAATTATTTTCATAATGGTGTGAAACTACTCAGTAGGTGGCGGTAATACGCTAATAACGAGAAAGGGCGGGGCTCTGCGCATGTGGGCGGGGTTTGTGACAATGGCCCCTCCCATCGTGTCTGAGGAAGCTTGTCCCTCTGCCGCTTCCGTGCACGCTGATAGCAGCAGGCAGCAGGAGCAGCAGCAGTAAAGATGGAGAGAGACTCTACGGTCCGCAGAATCAGAGCCCAACAGAAGCAGCAGAAGCAGCCGGACTGTGGCGAGGAGGCGGCCGCGCTGAACGGGCTCCGGAGGCGCAAACACAAACCGGAAGTGAGCGCTGGGCTGCTGGGCGAGAGTTCCGCTGTGCTGCTGCTGCTCGGGTTCGTGTGTTTGCTGTGGCTTCTGGTTCTGCTCTCACTGCAGCAGCTCATCATCAGCAGCCCGGGACTCTTCAACGCGCTCCGGGCCAGGTACACTTTACCATGGTGCAGTCAGGGTACTTTGCTGTTAACTACGGTAATACCATGGTAAATCAGCATAATGCCATGGTATAAAGTACTGTAGTGTTTTATAATATATCACGATCGTTTATGATGTGATAGACTTTAAACTCATAGAATAAAAAATGTAGACATTTTATTGTTTATCATAAAATAAGTTAATTATATTTTTAATGTGTTATAAATAGAAACAAAATACTCAAGTAATTTGTTTATTTACTCGACTGTTATTGTTACTCTGGTTACTGATGACAGTTAACTGATACAATATATCACTGTATTACTATGACAACAGTAACTCTGATTTATTGGATTAACTGGCTTTATGATTTATGAGAAATATTTATTAACTTTAAAGCGTTAATACGGTTTTGATAACACACAAAAACATTTTAAAATCATTTGAGGGGTTTATTTTCAGTGTAACTAGGAATATTTTTGCCATACAGCAAACATGAAGGTGACATGCAATGAACATAAAATAAAGATCTTTTAATTTGAACTAATTAAATCTTGTTTTAAGCATGAACTTAATCAAATGTTATCTCATTTAATGAGTTGTATGTTTAAAACAAGACAAAACAATTTTTAAAGTAACTTATGATTATCAATATATGTTTCTCTTTCAACCAATGATATTGGCTATACTTATAAGAAATACTTATCAATAACTTTTCAAATGAATAATATGAGGATTAAAAGTCATTAATATATGTCTGTTTGGATTTGATTAAACAGAGGAACATAGTAAAAAATATAATATATAAAATAAACAAAAATTGTAATAATTAAAAAAAAAATCATTATATTATAAATAAATCACACACACACACACACACTCATATATATAAAATTGAGGTGATAACGAGGATATTTTCAGTATTATTTTTGCATATACTGAATGAATGATATGTTGGTATTAAATGAAATGTCATGATTTTATTGTGAGCATTTAATTCGTGCATTTAAAATAGAATAGAGTAGAATAGAGTAATCTTTATTGTCATACACCGGTACAAATAAACTATATTTGGCTTCTTCGCTGCAATTAAATAACAGAACTCATTGAGAACAAAACTCATAATCTATAGACAGGTAAATAAATAAATAAATAAACAATAACATAGAATACAGAATAGTTGTAAAGTTGTGTTCTGTTGTGATGTGTGTGTATCAGGAAGCATTTGGAGCGGATCACGAGCGTCGGGCCGCGGACCGTCGGAAGTCCAGAGAACGAGATCACGACGGTGAACTACCTGCTGGATCAGATCGAGCAGATCCGGACTGAGAGCAAGACCGGTCCTCACTCCATCACCGTGGACGTCCAGCGGCCCACTGGATCCTTCAGCATCGACTTTCTGGGTGGCTTCACCAGCTATTATGACCGCGTGACCAACATCGCGGTCAAACTAGAGCCCAAAACTACGGCGCAGCACTTCATGCTCGCAAACTGCCACTTTGACTCAGTGGCAAACAGTCTGGGTACGTATTTACAACGTTTAATCAACGCTTCACAAATGAACCGAGAACGTTTGTTGTTTCATAGCTCAAGAACCCTTGAGTTTTTATGATTTAATGAAGTTTGTCTCAGATGTTTCTCCCTTAATTTAGCTTTCTGAGCGGGTGAGACTTAATAGAGTTCTCGGTTACGTCTCATTTAAGTTTCAACGTTGATACAATGTCAACTTTATGTTCCAATTTTATGAAAGTTTCTTTCAGTAAAAATGATGAAGCTTGATTAAGTGAAGGATAATAAAAGATAAAATAAGTCGCTCTTTCATAACCTACGAGACTTGAATGAGACATAATTGAGAACCACATTAAATATTTACTTTTGTCTCAAGTTTTTCTCCTGAAAAACTGCACTGAAGATCATTAAGGGAAAGAGATAACTTAATAAAATGTTATTGCTCAGAAGTTGCTCTTTCATAATTTGTAAGACCTAAATGAGACATAATTGAGAACCACATTCACCTTTGTCTCAGATGTTTCTCCTAAAAACCTGGCCTGACAATCATGAAGCTTTAATGGAAAGAGTTAATTCACTAAAATGTTTTTGCTCAGAAGTTGCTCTTTCATAACATGAGTCTTAAATGAGACTTAAACGAGAACCACAAAGTATTTAACTTTGTCTCAGATGTTTCTCCTAAAAAATGTATACTGAAAATAATGAAGCTTCATGAAGGCAAAGAGTTGACTCAATAAAATGTTATTGCTCAGAAGTTGCTCTTATGAGACTTAAACGAGACATAATTGAGAATCACATTAGGTATTTACCTTTGTCTCAGATATTGCTTATAAAAACCTGCACTGAAAATCAGTGTCACAAAAGCAGAGAGTTGACTAAATAGATTGTTTTTGCTCAGAAGTTGCTCTTTTATAGCTTATGAGTCTTAAATGAGACCTAAACGAGAATCACAAAGGATTTAACTTTCTCTTAGATGTTTCTCCTAAAAAACCTGCAATGAAAATCATGAAGATTCATGAAGTCAGAGAGTTAACTCAGTAAAATGTTATTGCTCAGAAGTTGCTCTTATGAGACTTAAACGAGACATAATTGAGAATCACTTACCTTTGTCTCAGAAGTACCTCCTTAAGTAGGTCTCTAGTTGTCGAATAAGAGCTATAAAATGAATGTGCAGCAGCTGAGATCGTTTGATGAGAAATGTTTGAGTTCATATTGAGCAGATTGGGTATCTTTAAGCGAATCTGAGCACAGTTTGAGACATTGTTGAAACACGTGAGATTACTAGGGTCTTCTTCTCAGTAGAAACATCTGAGATGCAGGAGACTCTCTGTTTGCTCTGTTTAATCTCAATTCTGTCTTGGAGAAGTAACTGAGATATTAAAGAGATCTCATGTGTGACTGGGTTTCTAGAACAGACTGTTCTTGGACTCATCATTTTTGGAGATACTTCTTGACATGATGTCATAAATTGAGAGTGTCTTCTGTGGAAATCCATATTTCTTCATAGGCGTCCTTCAGCTCTGTTTATTTGTTGTGTTTGCTGTTGTTCAGAGTGACAGTGATCAGATCGAGCAGTTTAAGGTTTCATTGTGTTCGGTGTCGGTGTTCTTTGACTCGTGTCTCATGTCTTTCTCATTTTTCACTGTGTTTGTGCCTGATGTTGGTTGTATATGGATGGGCACATTACATTATTTGCATTATTTAATCTCTATTACTAATGCACTAGTGATATCAGTGCTGTTCATTCCGCTGTCACCTTTGTCCTAAAATCCTGATCCTTAGAAATTTAGGAAGTGAAACTGAACACAAACGGCTTGTGTGTGTGTATTTGCATGCTGGGATCAGTTTGCCTTGAACTTCATTCCTGCTTTCAACCACAAACACCAACCACAGCACAGCAAACCTCACTGACTGTATTTGACTGTAACAATTCTCATGAGAGTCTCAGTCTGGTCAAAAGACCTGCTGCTGATGATGAAAAAGTCACATGAGTGTTTAATTAAGTGACTGTAAGTGATTCAGGCTTGCGTCTAACAGCAGCGTTGTAGTTCTGTCATGCTTGGACTGATTTTATTGGCCGTTTATGATTTGGGTTTGAATTAGGGCTGCATTTGATCAATGGGAAAGTTGTTCCAGGATTTAATTGTGTTGTATTTTACATACACAGATGCATCATGTATATGCTATTTATGCATCTTGCATATTAATGGTTTTATATATTTATACATTTAATTGTGTTTCGAGATTTGTGTGCATGCCTAACACTAGTGTGTGAGTAATAACTGAAGATGCTGTGTGATTAATAAACACCTGTGTGTGTGTGTGTGTGTGTGTGTGTGTGTGTGT